GTGTCGAATAACATTGGGAATTGTTAGCGATTATGACGTCATCACGTAATGATGTCATTACGCGATGACGTCATCTAACAATCGAACAATCAAACCTGCCACGGATTAGGAAACCCGCCATAGATTAGAGACCCACCACAGATCTGAGTCCTACATATATTATTTTATATTTATATTGTCACAGTTTGTGCATTTACTTTTAATGTTTATTCTTTCAGAACTTTCAATTTAGTACCGATTCTGTGCCTATTTCACTACATTTTGATGAGGAGGACAGCAGGTTAAATAACCTCATCAGTATGCATGTCCTTGTCCCTATTCTGTGGAACTCACTCACTCACTGACAACTGTACTATTACCATTTTTATGAAAACAACCAAATGCTCGTAAGACCCAACCATTTTATTTTCAGGATGTTTTTTCCATATTTGAGCATGACAAAGGAAGATAGTCCTTCTGACAATCTGTGTGGAATACAGTTATCAGCAAATTCAAATTTTTTAGTTCATTATAAGTAGATTAAGAATTACTATTGGAATTTAAGCTTTGTTTGAGAAAGGAGGCAGATAATTCTAAACTTCTGTAAACAAGGAATATATTACTAAATTCTTAACCTACTTGAGTCTCTAATGATTTCTATTTTCTGTAATCAATGTGGAAACCTGTCAGAGACATAATTCACCAAATAAAAACTGGAGGGCAAGCTAATGTGTTCATTAAGGAAATGCAAACCACAAGATATTGCACATATCCGTGTGAAAGTGACGACACCAGATATTGATGTGATTGGTCATGCATTTTACACGAGCGTTTGTCAGGCTGAGTGGCCCGGCTTTCACGGCTTCACACTCATCCATCACGGTTCTAGACCAGCCATCGAAGACACACGGCCTTTCTCACCTCCATCATGGTTCTAGACCAACCATCGGAGACACACGGCCTTTCTCACCACTGTTCCAACACCAACCTCTGATAGGGGAACCTGATTGCAATAACCACGTCATGTTACAAAGTGGTGTCAAAACTGTAAACAAAAATAACTTCCATCTGATTAAGTCTTGGTGATGTATATTTTATCACTTTAATTACTCTTTTTTTGTTGTGTTATCACTGATTTTTGGTTACCAATTAATATATATTGTTTTAATCACATTTTTGGGACCACCTGGTGTTGTGACTGGTATCAGAGATCCATATAATTATCATCACCTTTTACCTTGATTGTAAACTCCTGATGTCATCACTGAGTTTCAGTGAACCATTCATGTAATTTTCATCACAATTTTGCTTCTTTTCAGTCCAGTGGAATATTTTTGGCCTGGTAATCGAGAAGTTTAGGAAAGTTATTAACACCAAAAAATGTTCAAACACAAAAAACGTAAACATGACATTGAGGCTTAGTTGACCAGCCAACAATAAAAACCTGGCCTAAAGACCTAAAATAAAAGCTCAACCCAAAAGAATTAGGCTCACTCGTAATTTTGCCACATCAAATCTAATTTCTTTTTCATTCATTACTTGCAGTATATATTTGGAAAAACAATTGTAAACCAAATTGAGAATACAGACTTATATAATTGTTGTTGAATTTCCTTGTTTAAATTTTGCTGATGTTGAATGTTAAGGTCACCTAAATAATTGTTTGGGTTTTCATTAAGCTTGACCTTGATTCAGTGTGAGTGTGATCAAGGCATGAATTGAGATTGCTGTTAAATTTGAAGGTCAAAGTTTGAAAAACAGTGAAGAATGTTAGTGTCTAGATGAACTGCGGTGGTTATAGCCTAGTGGCTAAAGCATTGACTCGTCACACCAAAGCCTTGGGTTGATGCCAGATATGGGTCTCACAATGTCTGACAACCATTTTTGAGTCTTTTGCACAAAAAACATACATTGCTATCAATGAATGAAAGACTATTTCCAGTGGCCTACTTGCTGCACTTGTCTTCCATACTTTTAATCATCACTGATATGAAGGGCCACCAAACTTTCAATGTAGTGACATTGAAAGTCCAATTGTGTAAATTCATAACCAGCCCTGGTTCCTGGCTCTTTTGGAATGGTAATTACAGGGAGTATAGTGGTTGCTATAGTGACCACTTTATCTAAACCTAGCTTGTTGAGATCAGAAGTTGCTTCAGTGTCTTTTGTCTTAACTGCTTGGTTGACCTTGGTTTGGAGGAAGCATCTAAAATGCATCTAAAATGCAATGTCCTACTTTGTACTCTTTGGTAATGATGGATCTGTGACCACTTTCTCTGGAGATGTAGTAAGGGTATATAAACATGATTTTTGTTATGCTTATACAGAGATATCCCATTCTAGCATAGAGGCCTGATGCTTATCATGGAGCCCATTTATGTTATGGTGTCCTAATGTTTACTATGGAGCCATAAGGTTTATGATAGAATCCATATGTTTAGTTTAAAGCCTATATGTTTATCATTGGGTATAAATGTTTATTATAAAGCCCAAATGTTTAAGGTAGATAACAAGCAACAGAGAAGCACCCCAAGTAATGAAATCTGGACCTGGAGTGTGGTCTTGTAACAATTTACTCGTAAAAGAACGATGCATTATCATTTGAGGGAAATGTTCACAGTTGCATTTTGGAAATGGAAATTTAACCAGGCAAAAATGCAATGTAGTCATTGTCAAAGAAGTATTTGATCATTATGAAACATTATTTTTTAAGGGTAACCTGCTGAGAAGCACCTCTTTCAGATCACACATCTTTAAATGCCTTCTGGGGCGGTGGGGTAGCCCAGTGGTTAAAGCATTAGTTCGTCATTCCGAAGACCCAGGTTTTATTCCCCACATAGGTACAATGTGTGAAGCCCATTTCTGGTGTACCCCGCTGTGATATTGCTGGAATATTGCTAAAAGTGTCATAAAACCATACTTACTCACTGAAATGCCTTCTATTTGGATTTATATGCCAAAAATGCTGCAAATATAATTGAGTGAATTTTGCTGTGAAAAGTAGCACCAAAGGGCACAATGATGGTTAGCATGGCATGGCAGCAAACACCTTTTCAAATAGGCATTCCACCATTCCTCACAGTAACATGACCTTCATCACTTCATTGTGGTTGGGGGCAGTGGGGTAGCCTAATGGTTTAAGCGTCCGCTCATCACACTGAAGACCCGGGTTCGATTCCTCACATGGGTACAATGTGTGAAGCCCATTTCTGGTGTTCCCCGCCATGATATTGCTGGAATATTGCTAAAAATGGTGTAAAACCACACTCACTCATTAACTCACTCACTCACTGTGGTACGATATAAGACATATCATGGATTGTTTTATCCACTTAGTTTCACCCCCTCTCGGCAAGACATCAGTTCATGAACAAACACCCACGCTGTAAACATTATAACAAAGCAACGATAAAAATACCTGTGTTGAGAAAGCATGGTACTTTCAATATTGATTTATGTATATAAATAATATGTCAGTTCGTTAAGTTCATTACTGATGCTGTATATATACCAGTTTTATTTGCTTCCATTTCTCACAGATGTTATCATTTTGTTATGGCAGCTTTACCTCATTTATCTATAGTTTGAACCCTTTAATATTTTATTGAAGATCATACATAGCAGTATATTCCCATGGCAACACTCAAGCCAAACCACAGCCACGCTAATCTTGTTGTGAAGTAACTAATGATCTGATTGGCTTTGTTCTAAAGTTTATCAGTTACACACTATCAAGTCTTTATCAGAATTGAGAGACGGCAATTGGCAGAATCATCTAGCAATCCCCCTAAGCCAGTGACAATCCTGATTCTGATGTGGGCGCAGAGCCAGAAAACTGACATCACCCGTGGCATGCCTGTTGCCAACAGTCTTTAATTGCATTGATTTGCCAGTCTAGTTAATGACATTGACAGAGTATTATGTCTTTATTCAATTATGACCAGTGTACACCATGTTTATGCAGTCCCAAGTTCCACAGACAGACCGTATTTCATTCTACACACTTCAGCTTCCTTTTTAATGATGTTTGTGCCATAGTAATAGTGCGCCATTGACAGTTCCCTGCCAGAACGCTGGGAGCGATTCTTATAAGGGTGTGGAATAACTATGAAGGTATAATTTGCATGTGGCTCAGAAACCATATAATGATACTCATTATGTAACAGTTTTTGTTTTTATTGGTGCTGAGCTTTTGGTATAAATCTCTTGAATCATTAGATGCAAATTGTTTAATAGATTTACTGTCCTCGATGCTGATGAAATATGACAAAAAAGACAAACGTTAGAAGTATTTAAGGTAATTCTTTATATTGTAATTAGGTATATGTAACAGTAAGACTCTGTCTTTGGTATTTTTACTACTAAAATGTGCGAAAAGAAATATGTTCTTACAAAAATAACTAAAATGTATTTTAAGTAGATCAATGAGGAGGTACCTAAGTGTTTAATTTCTACTCTTGTATTGAAAATCAAACTCAAGTGTCATGGATGAAACATGCTACAGTAGCTTTAGTTTTCTATTTACATTGATGGATTATTGAATTTGTTAAATTATGTTTTGTCATGATGTATCGATCAAGTTACTTTGCTGCGGCAGACATTACTGCATAATAGTTCTATCTTTGACAATTATCATGGTCTGTGTACTAAATGATTTCAGTCAAAGTCTCAATTGAATTTTTGCATGACTTGGGATACATCCAATAAATAATTAAGACATTTATAGAAAACACTTATTGAACAGACTTGAATCAAATTTCACGTGGGAAGAAGTCGATTGTGTGACGCAAGCAAGGGGGTAGGAGTGTGCCCTTACTGGGCACATTCCGGTGATAAATGGGACGATGGGGAGAGTTTTTAGACTTGTGCAAGTTTACGTTGGCGTCTTAATTCTGATTGGTTCACTTCCCAAGTTTCAATCGACCAATGGCAGGGTCAGGTGGGGAGGTCCTTGCAGCTTGACGTAGATTCATTAATGTTCTCCCTCCCTCCTTTCCTCTGGAGGTAACGAGTAGGGACGAGCCCCATTCATTTCTTGAACACCATTGATCCAGCCAAAAGCACGCTACTTGGAGTAAGGAAATTTCCATTGATTCTCCCATGCTATAAACATCAAGTTTCTCAACCAACTTGTTTTCCACTTTTATGAGGTAGGTCCAGCTCACTTCATACAGAGCTTTAGTGCCTGCATGAATTGTAATCCATGTTGGCTTATTGAATTAACGTCGTTATTGAATTTGTTGTCTTTGATTTCAATTTCTTTTTTATCCTGACAGTTTGAAGATGGCAGATTAGTTTCTTTGTTTGTGTTCGTGTCTGCCTTAGATGTGGTCAGCCATCTTGAAATATTTTCACTGAAATTTAGTTCCACTTGTTGCATAGCAGTTTCAGCTTTGTTATTTCAGGATTCAAGATGTATTACTAGAATTTGATTGGTTTTGAAGTTAATTCATTGAATTAGAACCTGAACTTAGTCTCAAAATTTGTGAATGATGATGTCAAATGTTTGATGATACATGCTTACTTTTTAATGTGTAAGTATGTGGAAACATGGACATGTGGAATAACAAAGAAATTGGGAACTACATAAACATGTGGAATAACAAAGAAATGAGAAATAACATAGAAATGAAGAATAACATAGAAATGAGAAATAACATAGAAATGTTGAATAACAGAAAAATTAGGAATAACTATAAAATGTGAAGTAACATAGAAATGTGGAATAACAGAAATGTGGAATAACATAGAAATGTAGAATAACAGTAAAGGGAATAACATTGAAATGTGGAATAACATTAAGTTAGTTAAATTTCTTCTTTCCTTGCCAATTTGTGTTGATTTGACTCTGATTCTCAGTGTAAAAGCAGACATCATTTGATCTTTATAATACTGTTCCATACACCAGATACAGAATTTTTGCCCTCTGCATACTCCACCACAAATCACCATTAAAAAACCCACAGGCTAACATACGCCCCCACAGGCCAACATACACCCCACAGGTCAACGTACACCCCCACAAGTCTACATACACCCCCACCAATCAACATACACCCCCACCAATCAACATACACCCCCACATACCACAGTACACCCTCACCACCCCACCTTTACCATTGTTTGATATTGGTACAGTCATACCCTTTAGGTTATCATATATGCCTATACGTAGGAGATGTTTATACTTCTTATGTTTGTCTTTCTACCTTTCCACTGAAAACTTGGCACTATACATATATGTTCACTGCTATTGACGTAAAGATATTACTTCAGATAATGTAGTACATCCAGCTAGATATATTTTTAGTCAGTATTCCAGTTATTATCAATATTTAGGAGAGTAGATAATTTATGTATTGTGAGTTCAGGTCGGTACTCAAGTGAATAGATCAATGAAATATTGATATTCTAATCAATTAATTGTGTTGCACATTTGTTCTACAAAAGTAATAGATTTCTGCCTAGGTAGTGGTCATTTTTATAAATTGTGTTAAATTTATATATTCAAAAGCAAATTGGCTTTGTGTCCAAGCAATATTTATGTAGAGCGTGCAAACTGTGTGTATTAATTGCATTATACATTTCAACATGAAATTTCTTCCCTTTTCAATACTTCGATTCCAAATATTTCTTTCTATGATGTTCTTCTGTGATATTTAGTTCTTTATAAGTGAAACTGTTTGGGTAAAAAAGAGATATATGTGCACTGGGTGATGAGATATTTTTATATTAATTGATGATGAAGACATTTATGAAAAAAATGTTACATGAACATAGCATATTTTTAATGAGGATTTCAAAATCATTGAATTTATGATTATCTGCAGCAAAACCAACACATCCTCCTTTCGCCCAGTAAAGTGAAAGCAAAGTAGGTCCTGCTGCTGAGTGTTCTACAGAGAAGACAAATTTGCACATGCACAAAAATGCATTTACATGATCTCAAACCCAGATGACACTTTACACGAGATTAAAATGTATCCAGGTTTAGAAAGTTTACACATGACACATTTACATTGAACAAGTGTGTGCATATGTAGTTACATATTTACATTCATGATTAAAGTAGCGCACAGTTGTAGACAGGTGCATGCACATGGGATGTTAGTTATAAGATTCAAGTTTGCATATAGCTGTTGTTGAAGGTTTTGTAAATAGTGTGTTTTAATAAACATGGATTTTAGCATATATGTTTTTGGTAATATGTACACTAATTTGATATCAGACCAGAGTTTTCTGTATTCATGTAGTACAATATTGAGGTTATGTATGTGGTAGTATATGTGACACAGTGTGTCATTGTTGACAGTTAACACCCAGGTAGTACAATATTGAGGTTATGTATGTGACAGTATATGTGACACAGTGTGTCATTGTTGACAGTTAACACCCAGGTAGTACAATATTGAGGTTATGTATATAGCAGTATGTGTGACACAGTGTGTCATTGTTGACAGTTAACACCCAGGTAGTACAATATTGAGGTTATGTATGTGGCAGTATGTGTGACAGAGTGTGTCACAGTTGGTTAACATTGTTGACAGTTAACACAATATTGAGGTTATGTATGTGGCAGTATGTGTGACAGTGTAGTACAGTTAAACCCAGGTAGTTGAGGTTATGTATATAGCAGTACATGTGACACTATGTGTCATTGTTGACAGTTAACACCCAGGTAGTACAATATTGAGGTTATGTATATAGCAGTACATGTGAAACAGTGTGTTATTGTGAACAGTTAACACCTAGGTAGTACAATAGTACAATAGCAAACAATGAGATTTAAACCTAGAAGAAATTTTGATGGTTGGTATACTTAAAAGGTGAACATCAATGACTGTGAAAGAGACTGGCAGACAAGTTACTCTCCAAGACATGGCTCTTTTGTGGCAGGTGATGTCTTTCATTTGTCAGCACCATACCAGTGCCCCTGGGTTCACTGATATGTTAAATGTCTAACACCTGCATCAGAGGCTTTCTGCTCACACCAAGGATGCTCACACCAAGGATAGGTGATGTGGTATAAAGGTAACACCATGATTCAAAAGCCTTGCATACTCAATCATTTTTATCTGAAGTCTTTGTTCAAGCTGAAGTCAACAAAGCCCCAGGTATATTAAACTATTCATTTCGTTGCAATGAGTCATTATATGACACAAAGTCGTATAACTGTAGTTCTGTTCAAAGCTATCCGACTCATTCACTTTTACTTTATATTATTGTTCAAGGTATTGTCAACAAGTCCTAAGGCATACAAGACTATAAACTTTGTTGCAATGAGTTATTATATGGCATGAAATCATGTAAATGTGCTCTTCAAAGCTGTCCAACTCACTCACTTTTATCTTAAGTCATTTCTTACGCTAACTGTAAACAAACCCTGAGGTATACTACACTATAAACCTTGTTGCACTGAGTTAGTGTGCGTGTGGTTGTAATTCTTTTGCAACAAAACTGTTTGATGCTGAGAAATGTGGAATCAATATGCACATTAACAATAACAGTGACTGTGTTCACATGGTGTTTACACATAACCAGCATGCTGTTTTGACCAAGATTTCAAAGTGGGTCATACAACCAATGCTGAAAAGGTATTTCGTCACGTTACATCATTTAAGTGACAAAAATCATGTACAATGCAATGTCCTACTTTCACTTGTATCGTACGCTGTTGTTGTTTTTTTCAGCTGAATAATTGACTTGCCTTTGTATGTGTTTGTGATAGGTGCCACAGGTGTGCCACTCAGCTATTCATAAACTGGTATTGTCACGATGGACTGGGCTTTTAGAAGAGATTTCTCATTTTGTCTATGGAAAGGAGTTCAATGGCTTTTTAATATGTCAACTATATATGTGAAAAAAGTTTACTTTTTCATGAAGGAAAAACCAGTTCTATGGATAGTCAACTTCTTTATTACAATGAGTCAGGAGTAATGTACTGCTTATTTTTTCAATATAGGAGTACTGGAAAACTTTAAGAGTACATTTTGAGTACTGAATGGAATTTAATGGCGGATCAGTAATCTTGTGTTTCGCTTCATATATGCACCACAACATAGCTACTGTAAAAGGTCAATAAACAATAAAACAATATTTTTTCCATTATCAAATGATTCTAACCGTGCAGCATTGCTGTGGTGCGTATCTGCTACTCATTGCAATAATAGTAGTTGATATCTATCCATAGAACTTGGTTTTCCTTCATCTTTATAACTTCAGAAATGCCTTTCAAAGAAGTTACTTTTTCATGTTTGTAAATGGGAAGAATTCATTCTAAATATTTCAAATTCTAATGCAATAAGAAATTCTGTATATTTTGCTAGGTGATACTTAGCCCTGTATGCCTGTTGCCCCTGATGATAACACATCCAGACAAATCTAGACCCTGCCATGGCTCCGTCAGACGTCTGCCCCATCACATGCTAGTGGGGTTATCCCAGTGATTAGATACAATCCGATGAAGTATCTTCTTCTGATGGCCATCCCTGCAGCAATTGGCTTACTGTGTGATGGCGAACACGATTAGACTCCCTCGGGGCTCGTAGTCCACAGTCAGGGTATTGCCAGGAATTTCAAATAGATCCTCTCCTCCAAAACCTGGTGGACCTTCAGTAACGCACCAAAGATTGGACTGTTGGTCACTTCAGGTGCTGCTATACAAACTGGGCGGAAATCCTGAAACTAGTGGATATGCATGTTGAATGCTAATATGATCCTGAACTGGAAATAGTTGTGTTCATTCCTGTACCTTGAAAACTGTTAAAATACTGTTAAGATTTGTTTCTTTGTACAAACAAATGGTTTTGTAGGTGGCAGCCATTGGCATGTGGTTGTTGGCTTACTGGTTGTTGAAATGTGGATGTATTTTTTACTGAAAAGTAAAGTTTAGTTCAAGATTTTATCCACACAGAGTACAAGATGTAGATATATGAACCCCATTCCTTGTGTGCCAACTCACTCATGACATACACTATGTGAACCACAATCATTTCGTGCCAAATCACTCACTCACTCACTCACTCACTCATTATGTAAACTATGTGAACCCCATTTCTTGTGTACCAGCTCAGTTACTCGTGATGTATTCTATCTGAATCCCATTTCTTGAGTCCCAATATTCAGTTCAAACAACACTAAAAGCATGTTG